GCCAGAATATAACATCACAGAAAATATGATATGTGCAGGATATGAAGAAGGAGGTATAGACACTTGTCAGGTAAATACAGGATAGTCACCGTCATATACATTTAGATAGCATTTTCTTTGCCTAGCTATAATTTGGGAGTTAAGAAATCACTAACAACCCGCAGCTCCACTTCTTTCATGGTAAATTCGATTACTGTCTATGAGTGACCTTATACAAACTGCTTGTCGTTCATTGAAAGGGTTAAGTAGGATGACATCTATAAGGCAATCAGCAAATATTAAAAACCAATTAGGAGATTTTATTAGGAGACTTACTACATACATTTTCTGGCATGTCTTAATTATTTGGAAATTAATAAAATATTAATGCATCTCAATCTACTGCATTAAATTAAACTACAAAGTGTTAAAAATGAGTAATTCATACCTATGAAAGTAACCAGTTATATCGTAAGAAAATGCCTTTACTGTCTTACAGTGTAGCAACTTGTTTCATATAGTAGAACATATATAACACAATTTGACAACACCTTTTTAACAGACAGAGATAAATGTGTAGTTTTTTTTCCCAGTTAAATCAATGTCTCCAGTCACGTTAAACCTTCAGCCTGGCGTTACCTTTATTCTGCTTTGATGAACACTTGGAAATTCAATACAAATCAAAGAGCTTTACAATTGTTTAAAATTTACCTCTGGATCTTTAGGCTTTCCTTACAAAATGAAAAATGTGCTAAAGATAAGATATATTACCACTTAAGATGTGATTTATAGGATAAGCTGCAAGAAAGAAATCAGCTGTATAACTTCCATTACAGTTAATGGGGGTTGCATGCAGACACCTCACAATGAGGTAGAAAATATGACAGCTAATGCTATTGATCTTAGAGTTACAGTATGCCAGTAACTCATTCCAGATCTGTGAAATCTTATGCTTGGCTCTGCTTTCTACAGGATCTAAGCACATTATTCAGTAGCAAGGAAGAAATTCCTAATACATAGAAATATTTCATGCAATAGAATGTTGTCATAACTGAGTAAACATCACCCTAGATTGCCACATAATTTTCTTGGTTCAATGTTAATATTAACTGGTAAAATAATAACATAGTATTTAAAATGTTGAACATATCATTGTTTGAATACATTCATTGAATCATTTTTTTTATCCTCAAAATTAATCCCTTCAGGCAGAGCCAATTTCTTTACATATTTGAGGTAGTCTTCTGAATTTACAGTCAATAAGAGAGACTATAGAATATCTTCTCATTGATAAGTAGATGAATATCATTTCATTTTCATTCAGAAACTGAATTATTTATCATTAGCATCACGCCACCTTTTCCCCTTTAAATATAGCACCAAGAGGCGTCTCAGGATAATTCCTAACATTGAGCCAAATATTAATTGCTCTATTATAGCAGTGCTTCTTGATCAATTAGAGAGTTTCATATTGTTTTGTGGTTTAAAAATAAATAACTTGCTGGGTAGTACATGCCTTTAATTTCAGCAGAAGCAGGCAGATCTCTGTAAGTTCAATGTTAGTCAGAGCTACATAGCCAGTTCCAGGCCAGCAAAGGCTACATATACAGTGAGGTCCTGTCTCAAAAAAAAAAGAAAATGACAAATAAGTAAACAACCAGAATTCTTTGCATAACTGATATGTGAGAAATATTTGTCCGTTTTTCATAATAAGTAAAGCTATTTCATGTCCATACCATCTCTATGTGCATTAGAGAGGAATCATTATGTACAAATAAGACCTATGTGGTTAATTGGACAGGATGAACCATCACTTATATATCACTTACCCTGTGACAAAAAGCTACCCTCAGAGGGGGTGGTGGTGGCACATGCCTTCAATCCTCACACTCGGGGGGCAGACCCAGGTGGATCTCTGTGAGTTTGAGGCCAGCCTGGTCTACAGAGCAAGATCCAGGACAGGCACCAAAACTACACGGAGAAATCCTGTCTCAAAACAACAACAACAACAACAAATGCTACCCTCCTATAACTGAAGTCTAAATGAAAACACATGTTCTGATTACTAGGAAACATGAGATTGCTTACTTGGGTTGAAATGTTAAGGTTTTCAAATCTGATTGATAGTTGGCAAAATTTTCAGTCACGTAGGAGAACTAAATCCCAAACCATGTGTGCCTTCTCCACTCTTCGAAAATCATGATATGGAATAGCTTTGCCTTATATGGGAAGGCATTTTCTGACACTCACATGTTACTTAATAAAGTGATTAGTACGTTGATATTGATGTGACTTCTTATTGTAGCACTTTAGAGAATGTCAAAGTATGTTGAAATACAATAATGAAGGTGAGGAGGAGTTACTTGGTAAGAAGAGATTCTTCAGAATTATAAACTTTCTATTGTTACCATTTGCCCCATCTCCTTGAGGAGCAAATTTCTGATGTCTAGACTGATGGTGAGAATACAGAAACATCTGGCAATCGATCGTATTTCTGTACATTCATATTTTGATTGGTGAGCTTAGCACAGTTGTTTATACTGATTGGCTATGTACCCACAACTTTTCTTTGTAATTCACACTTTAGGGTGATTCGGGAGGACCGTTAATGTGCCAAGAAAACAACAGGTGGTTTCTTGTTGGTGTGACGTCATTTGGAGTCGAGTGTGCACTGCCTAATCACCCTGGGGTATATACCCGGGTCTCAGGGTTTATTGAGTGGATACAAAGCTTTCTACATTAGGCATTTTCCTGGCACAAATGTGAAAATTGGGCAGTTTTTGTTTGTTTGTTTGTTTGTTTGTTTTTCCTTTTTACTCAAAGTAGAGCACAGCAACTGAGGGTTTCATGAGAAGAAAAAAACAACAAGCTTTTGTTTTCAACTAAATCATGTAAATAGTGGGATGAGGAAGAGAGAAAAATAAGAAATTAAAGTCAATCTTTTCAACATAAAGTAACTCTAAAATGCATTCTTGTTTCATTATAAACAATTATTATTTTATAGACATTATCATTTTCTTTGTTTTGAATCATTTTTTGCCATTTTCTTTTGTGTGAAGGGTTATTATTTTAAGACATTTTAAACACATTTAATCAAAAATAGGTAAAGAAAGGAAATGTGATAGTTTGCCTGAAGTATGATGTTGTTTGAAATGAACTGATGGAACTTATCTGGTTTCAGTTTCGTGTACCATTAGACTCATCCTTATTTCCTTGCTCTAGCATATGCATGCATTTCTATTTACATGCAATATTTTCCCTGCTCATAAAAGTACATTTATTCCAAACTCATATTGAAAACATGATCTCATCATAACTATCACTTTCATCCAGGTAAAGAAAACACACATACATCTCTCTCCTGATCGAACATCAACATAAAAGTAAACTGCCTAACAGTGTCATTCCACACAAATAGTCTTTATCTGAGTCATTTTAACTTAACCATTTACATCAGGCTGGTATTTTTTTAATTCTCAAAAATAAGCAGGTATTTTGAAGAAATTCAGCTATTAAAAGTTTTTCTTAGTTTCTATGTTTACAGAATATCTTTAACATAAAAAAATTGTTCAGGCACAGCTGAATTGCCCATTAAAGCCAAAAATGTGTAATAAATTAATTTGCTTTACTACTGTAATCTCTTGGATCATTTCCAGAGTACCTAAAAATGTCAGTTTAGCTTTTGGCACAGAATCTGCTGAAATCCATAGCAAGTTAACACAAAATACACATATGCACACACACAGAGAGACATATTTCACAAGCACACAGACACACACACTTTTGCATGGATTGAAAAATGGAAGGATAAATGGGATTCAAATGAGTTGAGTAAAAGGAAGTAATTGTCATGATTTCCTTTGTGAAAGGAAGGAAGGGAAGGAGGGAAGGAGGGAGGAGGGAGGGAGGGAAGGAGGGAGGGAGGGAGGGAGAGAGGCAGGGAGGGAGGGAGGGAGAGAGGAGGAAAGCTTCAGCTACACTTAGAATGATTATAATTGGCATACTTAAGAGACACTGGAAACAACAACACAGATAGGAATGACCCTGAAAGTTAAGGACAGAGTTCAAGAGACAATCATATTGTACCTAAAGACAGTCAGAGCATGGAAAACATGTCATTAAAAGAAGGATTGACAAGATGATGGAAGACTAGATATTCCCATAAGCAGCAGCATAAATAATCAGGGGTCTTTGAACACATTCTTTTTAGCACAAACTTACTACTAACCTGATCCCAGCAAGGACAAAGGAGCATAAAGAGTGGGTGTGTCATTTGTTTTGAATACCTGAAGGCAGCTCCATATTTAATGGCATTTCCCAACCTATATTTAAACTATGCTCTGAAAATACAGAGCTGTTACATCACGTGTCGGTTTGTTTTTCATGGGTCAGCTAAAACTTCCAAAAACCCTTAGGGCGGTGTCATTATATTCATCTAGTAGGAAGAAAATGTGTTTTCCCGCCCTTGTCACAGATGGAGTTTGTCACTGGCACCAGAAGTTGTCCTGACCTGGATAATGACAAAAGTGGGGACAACAGCCTTCCCCATTCCTGTGTGCTTCCACCCTCCAGCTGTTAGAGTTCTGGGTGGCACAAAGGCAAAGTTCTAACTTTCTCACAGTTTTAACTAGAGGAAGAAATGGGCGGAGTTGGCATGGAGGGAAAGCAGAAATGCAAGCAGCTGGCCTCCCATTGGACCCAAAAGATGGAGAGCAGGGAAAGGATGGGGGCTGAAGGAGGACGGCTGAACTTAGAATGCAGCTGCCGGTTCTCAGTCTTCAAGCAGTAGCAAAAGATATGAGGTCCTTTTTTGCCTCTTTTTTGGAAAACCAAGTCTGCTTAAGGAAACTACTTTATTGTCCGACTGAAAGACTGACAGACACTAAGAAGTTTCCCTGTTCATGCTATGTCCTTGCTTTCCATGTTCTTCACGTGGAATGTTTGTTTTCATCGCCAGGTAATGAGCAAACACATAATGCACTTTGTTCACTTGAGAATTTAGGCAACACCAAACAATGATCCTTCCTCAGAAACAAGAACTTTTTATTTGGTTAAAAGTAACACAGGGACATTCAAAGACAAAATAGTTACAACTCTCTCTTGAGAAGAACAAGTGCTACTTTGTTGAAGAACCTCGATCAGACAAAAGGGAGCCACAGTTCATGATCATAAATAAACCCTCACCAAAGATATCCAAACATCAGTGACTTCCAGCCCATGGCCCATTAATTGGTGTGACTTGTAATTTTTGTTTTGTTTTGTTCGTAATCTGTGTGTTCTGCTTAGCATCACACTGCTGAAAAACATTCAGCCCTACATATCAATACAAGCCAAATTCACTTAGGAAAACCTTAGCCAAACTGCAGTGGTCTGACTCTAAATTCAATCCAAATCCTTAAACAGCCATCCTGTTTGGCTGACAGGGAGGAGCCACATTGATTCCAGACACTCACAGAACAACTCAACTTGCAATTCTATAGGCAACATGTGAAGACCTGTGATTTGTACTGTGGACACAATTTTTTTTTCAAGATAAACTACATTGGTATCTATACAACTATTAGTAAAGATATTTTATTACAAAAATCAGTTTAATTTTAAACTAAGAATAATTGTAAGGCACGTGTCTTGCACAATTGAAGTTAGACAGTTCTTGCCTCTAAGTAAAGTGTTTCAGGAGATTTTAGCACAGTCAATGAAACAGTTTCTTATTTCTGAAGAGATTTCCTAAACCTTATGCAACCAAAAGCAGAAAAATGTAAAGAACATGAACTATTCCTGCAAAACAAAACAAAAAAAAAAAGTTTTCCCTATGGAAAGATTTCTTTGGGTCTGTGTGAATTCAGTATTTAATCAAACAGCATGCATGTAAAAATGAAGTGCCATAAATGTAAATATTAGAACAATCCATTTTTATCAAACACTTTTGCAAAGATACAATGTTTCTACACACTGTAAATCTGAATACAATTTATATTACATGAAATAGATCAAAATGATAAAGGGGACAAAAGGTGAAAGGAACTACTTCCAACACAGGGATTCCAGATGTGCCCACCGAGATTTTATCTGTATGATCCATTTCATTTACATGAAGTTAGGGTGCATCCTTTAGCTGAGTAAGCTGGTCTCACTCCATGATTAACACAGTATATTTTGCAAGTGAAACTATGAACATATAAAATTTATTTTGACATTGGCCTCAAGGGGGAGCTTACAGTTCATTTTGTAGATCCTTTGAGATTTCAAGCCATTCCAAGCTAATGATGCCATTCCTTACACTGATCAAGAATTACAAAACTATTTTTATTTTCTGGAGCAAAGTCAGTTAATTATTATACTTCCATGCCACTCTCTTTTCTTGTGCTCTTTGAAATCCACAGTGTAGACTGGTTCGGGCTAGTTTTTGTTCTTCCTTTACTGAAAAACACAAAAAGACATAAGTTCAGTTCCTGAATCTTCTTATCAGGCAAGTCATATGTTCGTCCAAAGAGAGATGCTCAGACAGATATTATGAGTTCTTCTTTCCTCATCAGCATATTTTCCATTCCTACAAAAAAGTCTAGATTATCCCACTGTGTGAAGATGACGAACAGTTCTCATGAGAGGTGAAAACAAACCGACAAACATACCTACATCTGCTGACAGTTCAAACACACATGCATAATAATGCCTGGCAGAGTACTAAAACTTTCAGGTTTCCCCTAATAAGCCTTGTTTTCCTTGGACAGGTTTCTAACTCTTGCTTTATGGATACTCTGATATAATGGTTGCTACAGTTAGTGTCAAATCATCTAAACACATGCTATGGTCCTAATGTAAGAAATGTCTGTACTCCTCCTACCATAAGTCATCCCGAGCTGTACATAGGTCACTTGTGTACAGAAAACTTAATTGTATCTCCCTCTCAGATCAGGGGAAGTCCAAAGTAGACACATGTGTGGTGACTTAGGTGCTTGTGAGTTCTTCCTCTAAGATATGTCTCACACAAAACTTCTGTCCTATAGAACTAGACCTAGGTCCCCATAGTAGCCTGTGTCTGGGATTCTAATGGTTTTTCCTACAGTGCTCACTTTTCAGGCTCCTGCAGAAGTGTCTGTTTGCAAGTTTCCTCAAGTCATTCTCTTTCAGATTACATAACAAGATCTGCATTTCTTTGCTTTAGATTCCTGAGGATGACCTCTCACCTGGTCTGTCCACACTTCCTGTGTTTAGTACTTACTTCTACCCCTAGGTATTCACACTTAAGCCTCTAATAACGTTTGCCACCCTCACAGACACACCCCTGCACCATCCCACTATCCTGCAGATTTGCAGAACTTCTTGAAGACAAAGAAAAAGAACTATTTCTAAAGCCCCAAGGCTTGCAATGCAAAATACTTTGTTCATATCAAATTGAGGGTTGTTGTGATTAATAAAATTCCAAATTGCATGTTATATGGGCATTCCTTCAAACAAATAAGGTCAACATAACTTCATTCTACCAAGTACAACTACCATGAAGCAAAAACAAGTCGGGCAAAGTTTATGAAGAGCAGAGTATTTTAAATGGTAAGAAGAGTAGTTAAGTTGTCAATGTGACTTTACTATTTCCTTTAAAAAGTTCTACTAGTTAAAGGAAGGAAAGTTGTTCTGGAAATGATATGGAAGGAGAGAAACCACCATGTGTACCAGATTGGAATTTAAACTTTCTGCAAGGCACTCGGATGATAATGGAGTGGAGTCTTTGATGAGGTTTCTCCTTGCTCTCCTGGAAGAAAGGAAAAGGGGAGGCTCTAAGAATGACGAACAAAGGACTTCAGCTCATCCCGGCAACTGAAGGTGCCCAATTCTGGTTTATTTTCTCACTCTGAAACTTTGAAACAAGTGTGAACAGTCACAGATCTTTTGAATGACTACAACCACCATTTGGGAAAAACAGAACAAGCCTTAGAGGAGATGCTGCTGCTCAACACATGGACACATGTAACGTGAACTTGAGCATGTTTGAATCATGTATTTAATGTTTACTAACCAGTTTGCTACTTAAATGGCCACTTGAACAGTCTGTCCGGGCTGAGAGGGGATTTACAGTCCTCCTACACCATTGATTTCCCAATGAAAAATCAAACATAATTCCATCCGTAGTCTTCGGAATTAGGGCAAGAAATGACATGTTTTGTATTGTGTTTATTATATATAAAATACTGGGAAATAAATTGTATAGTGTTTCATGTGTCTTTGAATGAAATTCAAGAGGATCACAAATATAATATTACTTTTCTAGACTTCATTTTAATACCCTTTATTTTAGCTTAAATTATTTTTTTTTATTTTCAAATATGTTATTGTTTTGTTTTATTTGATTTTGTTTTTTTTGGGGGGGTTGCTTTTCTTTGGTGTGATTTGGCTGGCAGGAGGTGTCTGCTTGTTTGTTTAGATATGTTCTTGTTATGTAACTCCAGCTGGACTCAAACTAGCAATCTTTCTGCTCCTCGACCTCCTGAGTTCGGGGACTGTAGGCATGTACTGCCAAGCACATCTAGATTTGATCGCTTATTAATACACATGAGTCATGTACAGCTAATGTCCTTTCGGCGGGGGGGGGTTGCTACTTCTCAGGCACTTTAGGATTTACTTAAGGAAAAGAAGATGATTAGACAAAAAGAGAAAAATGATTTCATTTGCAGGTCCTTCTTCTTTGATGGAGGCCTTCTTTCGAGCAGTTATTTAACCATAAAACAAAGAGGTCATTTATTCCAGCACATCTCTCCTTATCTAAATGCATCTTCTAGTTTCTAGTTTGATACATATTTATACTTAATTTATTGAAAATTTTTGACAGACTGTACCACACATAAAAAGTTCACTTCACTGACTCAAGGGTAATGATAAGCATGAGTAAGTGTTTGACAAGTCCTTAGAATTCTTGCTATTAGGATATATCACTTTATTTCAAAATTTCTGCCAGATGGTACCCAGTGTGTGTGTGTGTGTGTGTGTGTGTGTGTGTGTGTGTGTGTGTGTGTGTGTGTGTGTGTGTGTGTGTGTGTGTGTTTGGAAAACAATGAACTTTTTTATCATTGAGACAAGGTCTCATGGTGTAGCTCAGACTGTCCTGGAACTCACTAGCTCAACCTGGCCCTACACTCAAGGTAATCCTGCCTCAGCCTCTCAAGGGCACCACATCCAACTTGCTGCCTTCACAACTACATTTAATTTCCTAGTCTTAAAATGTCTTTTTGAAATAAAACAGAAGTTTATTATTTGAATCTTGAAACTATGCTACATCTATGCCTTTAAAACCAAGTCTTACATATAACTTGATATCCAGTTTGAAAGGTTTAACATCAATTTAACGTAATAATCCAGAGACCATATAATATAGTGCATCTCACATGAGCTTACGAACACACCCACTTCAGACCCACCACATGTGCTAACTGTGCGACGCAAGGCAACTGAAGATGACCCAACTGAGCTACCGTTTTCCTCATTGAAAAGCAGAAACAGTAAGGCAAGCAATTTGTAGGACCTGTGAAGTGTAAAGGAGATACTGGATTCCTCATATAATCCCAGTACATTCTATAACTCTTCGTGTGGTGGATTTTTACTGAACAGGCGAGAACTTTAAAATCCTTTAATATAAGTTAAAGACAGTAACATTTTAACATTTTTAATGGGTGTCTCAAAGTACTTTTAAGGGTTTTTTTCTTAATTATCTTGAAACAAATATGTTTTTTATTTACCTTTTATGCAACATCTGAAAACAGCAGGTTCCGAAAGCAACAAGTATCAGTAAAAGCAGCGGAATCGTTGGTATGATAACATAAATTAGATTGGGAATTATACCTACAAAAATAAAACAGTTGTAGTGCTCAGTGATAGCTCAGAAAGGAACTCAAAAGTAAATTTATGAACAACTTTCCCTAAAGGTTAAGGTAAAATAGAATTGTTACCAAAAGGTAAACTCCGAGTACAGAGCTTATGAAAAATACATAGACACTTTGAAAAAAATATAAACAAAACTGTAATGCCCTGGTTGACATTCTCAATTAAATATGCATGCCTTTAACTTTCTATTACATTTCCAATTCAAACATGGGCTAATTTCCACGACATGTTAATAATCTTAGCTGTCTCATTTTATTAATTCTTCTGCATCATTGGAGAAGTGAAGACATTACATTCAGGAATAATAATTACTATAATCATTGTAGACTTAGCAGATAATGAATTATCTTAGCCAATAAGCTCAATGTTGTGAGAAAATGTAAGCATCTGGCATTAAGTGACAATAAGCACATACTAGGTAGTGATGCAATCATAACCCAGAGACATTAGACTCTGGAGACAATGACATGATTTAATTAAATTCTGAAAATAGGTCATCTTTTAACCCTGGTCTCTCCCTCTCAATGATGGCAGGCATTCTTAGATTTTGAAGAAAACCACTAACACTAAAGAACTACAGAGCATGAAATGACACTATTAGACACACTTTCAGTACTTTAGGAGGAAAAATATCTGTAGTTTAATTATTTACTGATAATTTTAATTGTGTTTAGACATTATGGATGATGCTAAAAACAGAAAAAGCCCAAAGGCTTAAGAGCGTGTCTGTATGAGGAAAACAAACTGGGAGACATTGCATTTGGCTTACAAACTAAAAGTTAGTTAACAATATCACAAATCTTAATGATTCTGATTAAAGTTGACCATAATATATTCATCTCATTGTTTATCCTTTTCTTTGCTAAGGGGTGTATTTAATGAGATCTGGTAATAGGTTATTCAGAGATATGCTGCTGTTTAACACTTTTAAGTTCATATATGAAGGCACTTTATTTTAATCAAACCCACACCTCACTCCCCACTCCAAATTCTCACAAGTCCCTCTACTTATTTCTTCCTAACTTCATGTTGTGCGTGTGTTTGTGTGTGTGTGTGTGTGTGTGTGTCCCACATGTTTATTACCATAGGGACACATAGGAGGATCAAAATGCAGAGAATAGTGATTGTGGAGTGCTCAGCCTTCCTTCTGAGCCTCTATCTATGAGTTATTGGTTTTGAAACACTTGGGTCTTTGGATCGATGTTCACAAAACAAATAGGATGAATATTTCTGTCCCTCTGGATTTAGGTCATGTCAAAAAAAGTTTTGAGGGGTTGCTAGCTAATAAGGAACTTGCACTGGGGATTGCATTTTTTACTCTGTTTTCTGCAATGGCAGCAAGATAGAGACCACATTGTGTACATCTCCTTCCGACATGCCATACAGTGATATCACAGTGATAGTCTGAAATTGATCAGATTGAAGTATTTACACCAGGGAGGACTACATAAACTATAATAAGGCTTATTTTATACCTCATCTCTACTGCAAGACCAGCCCTGAACATTCAGCAGTAAGTATTCCAGGGCACTAAATATGCCAGTATACATGATAACTACTATATTATATTGGGAAATGTTTTGTAGATGACAAGTGTTAATATCGATCCCTTAGTTTCATATTAGATACTTCCACTTGAAATGGAAAATTTTTAAAGGTTATTCTATTCAAAATGCATCCTTGCATAATTATTTCTAATGTAGGTCAAAAGTAAATGTCTATGGGCCCATAATTAATGCATCACATCCCTGAACCACAAGAGAGGTTTCCCTGGGGTCAATGCAAAGCACTGGTTCAAAGCACAGTTGTTTAGATGAGAGGTAAGAACACATGCAAGGGACTCACCTGCTTCAGTAACAACCACATTCTCATGGGTGTCTCCAGGTTGGTTTGTAAGATACGGCTTTTCAACGGGGTCTGTTGGCTGAATCTCTGTAAAGAATTAGCATAGGAATAATAAATAATAATTAAATAAGGAAAATGCAAACATCAACAAAAATACAAATTTATCAGTAAACGGTTAAAAAAAAGTTGATTTGGATTTCTGAATAATTTGCAGTCAAATATATATTCTGAATTTAAATGTACATAAAATTAACTAACAATAGTCAATATTTAATTATGTCTGAATAAAAGAACCAATTTGATCAATTCCTTCTATAATCCCAAACTTCATTTAGCAACCCAAAGTGGTAGATTGCTGAAGGCAGCTTGCTGCAATCAGTAATGACAAAGGGGCCCAAAGCGACAGGGGCAAACAATAATTTGTGAACTTAAAATGTAAGACATGAGACGTAATTTAAAGGAAAACAAAGGTAAATTCTCTAAGCAATAACCTTTGCTGTGCAGTAATAATTAGCAGATAACTGCACAGTTGCATGTGGAATTGCTGATTCAGGCAGCAGCCATCTGAAAATCACGTCTGTGCTACCCAAATAACAGGGCCTGCTCTTTTAAACAATAGCAAGTCAAGATTTACAGGTTGTTTCAATTTCAGCTTTATGTGATTAGATTTTTCAATTCCGAAATGAATGGAAATTCTTGAGATTTCTTAGCATGGTCTGGTACTACTATTTTATATACTTTCCCCCTATAAAACTAATTGTTACATTAACAGTTTAGCCAAAGAAAATTGTATTAGTGAAAAAAAAACTAGCAAGCAAGAATAGGTTATAAACCTTCCATCTACCCCATCTACCTACCACCCACCTGCTGTAGTGAAGCACATTCAAGTTGATCAGCAAGACTCTTGTGGCTTTGAAGTCACCTTCCTTCCACTTACACCTAACTACAAGACCTCCATCCCACACCCCCAAGTCTGAACCAACCATAACTCTTATCTGGTGCCACACACACCTCTATTCAAACTCCTGGCACACAGGTTAGGCCACATGGCATGATGCCTGCCCCCCTCCAACCCCTAAATTTCACATGTGTAAAGTTATAAGAGCAAGGAATTCCCTTTGTTCCTCCTGAGGTGAAGTGATCCTCTCTCCTGTGAGGTCTTTGTCTTGCCCCCAAGGTGTACGCTATAACTTCTCTAATACTCCAGAAGTAAATGGAATGGAAGGAGCTTCTCCTCCAGAACCCCTGTCAATCTGAATGGAGACACTCTGAATGGAGTTCTTCTTAGGGAACTGGAGAAGAATGAAGGGTATTTTCTTCAGGTACCCCATCATGGTATCTGTGACTATTTCTTCTTTAATGAAGTTCTTTGAGGGTGGAGTATTAAACTGTAATTTCCCTCTATAAGCCTATAACATCCTTTTATTCATGACAAGCCTAGTGGTTCACCATGAGTCTATATTTTGAGTTTCATGCCACACTGGGCCATAGAGTAAAACTCTGCCTCAAAAACAAACAAGCAACAACAATAATAACAAAATCAACTGTAAATGTTTTCATTGGTCAAAGAAATTAGACTCTTTATTCTTGTCATTTTATGTTACATAGAGCGTTTTCTGTAGTCTTTGGAACACACAAATGTTTTGAAGAATTTTCACTCCTCTTATTATCCTACAATCTCAATTCACTGGTAGTTTAACCACCCATCATGCTGTAGCAATGTTTTCATAAATTTTAAATTTAACTGATACTTTAATAGCTTCCTAATATATAGTTATTTTCTAAATGATTTCATTAGTATATAAATGCAAGTGGTCAACTGATGTTTTGGAACAATTTATAAAAACATGAAATTAGTCAACAAAGTAATTACACTTAAAACATTTCCAACAAACTTCAATGTGATTGTGAATTAAATAAAAGTCTAGTAACTTAATTTTATAAAAGCTATTTTTATCTAAAAATAAAAGCCAATAGGGCAATGTTAATTTTTTAAATTAGATCTATTTTGTGTGTGGCTGGGAGCATGAGTGTCATGTTTGTGTGTAACTGGGAGCATGAATGTCATGGTGTGCATGTGAAGTCCAGTAGACAACTTGAGGGAGTAGGTTTTCTCTTTCCACCATATAAATTCCTGGGATTGAACTCAGTTTTCAGACTTGGTAACAAGTGTCTTTCTCTTCTGAGCCACCTCATCAGATCCAAAAGACAAGTTTAACACAAAAATAACTTATAACTACTGCCATAAAAAATGGGTATCAGTGAACCAAAAGAATATATATGTGTTTCAGTAGAGGAGAGGGAAAAAATAAAATTGAATTTTCTCATTTCTGAATAACCAGGGTAATTTTTTAACATTTTCAACACCATTGATCATGCCATTAGATAGTATATGAGAGGAGAAATATGAAAGTAAATAATGACTTTCAAATTGATCATGGGTATAATATAAAAATACATATATACATATTACACAGATATACTCATTCCTTTAACCCTCTCATTAATAAATGCCAAGTGTTGCAGCAAATTTAAAATATCACAAAATCTTAACTGTATTTCTCTAAGACACAATTAGAAAGAATAGAAATGAATAACAAACTTAGCTTTGCAAAGGCTTCCAGGAGTGTAATGACAGATTTCGCAACCCAGGGCAAAGAATAAACTCACCAGGGATATAAAGAGTTGGCTAATATACTCAAGAGCAGGATAAACATAAGAGAAGGGTAAGTCTAATCCAATAATCCCTTGTGCTACATGGCTTTATGAGAAAAGAAATTGTGTAATTTCAAGAGAATAATAGGAATAGGGTACTTGGATATAATTGCCTTCTATGGGAACATATTATGAGGTCATGTGACAGTCTTTCAGAAAAGTTAAAATGACCCTTCCCAATATTGTAGAGAAAAATAGAAAAATAAATATATCAAGGCTTAAGTATCTAACTTGAGTGTCTAAGACAATCAAATATATGTTTCCACATTTTTGATTAGTCCGTCTTTTAGTTTAAATCCCAATTCAATTGAAGTGTCTTATTAAAGTAACTCAATTTCACCACATTCAGTGGGGAGCCACACTACTGTGACTTAGGTCAAGGTAATTTTCCCAGTTGCTGAGTATGACAAGTAACTAAATATTTCAGAAGAAAACTAACAAAAGTGTCATTTCTCAAAAAATACAAATCAGATGAAGAATGTGTAATGTAACCCTACTCTTTTTAACTATTGAGAAAGGATTTAAGCTCAGATAAAGGACCACATGGAAAGTATTATGCTGTAACATGGTGAAATAATATGCCTGGGGAAAGCTATTTGCTCCCCTAAACTCAGCAGGAAAAAACCAAGGAACTATTGCTCACAAGTATGCAAGTCTATAGGCACTTTGGTAGCCTATACCTACTTTCCACATAATCTTGTAAGTTTTTAAGATATTTTCACATAGACATTTGTCATTTGCAAAATATAATTGCAACAGCACTATTTGGTTCTTGTAAAAATTATTATTTTCTCTTGAAAGGCCTCTCCCAACAAATGTTTCTGCCCATTCCCTTTTATTCAATACACTGACAGGTTTTCTCTCCACCAAGCAATAAGCTTCAGTACATTAACAGGGTGAGTTGTCAGGTGATGCCTCTTTCTTAGGAATAATAGAGGAAGGCTGGAAACCATGAATACATGGACTAATATGAACAAAATCTACTACAGCTATGAAGGTATCTTACCAGGTTCGTACTTGCAAATGTAGTTGTGCTTCATGTTGCACCTGTCATCATTCCACTGGTAAAGGTAGGGACCTCCTAGGCCAGGATTGGCAGTTGGTTGATGGTACATGACAACACACTTTTCACTTCCACAAGAAGGTTCATCGGTGTACCAATTCCTACAAATACAGAGCCAAAGGGACACTCAGTAACAGGTGGCCGGAGTGTTCCTAGGTATCTGGGCCTTTCTTTTGGCCTTATGACTCCTCCAGGGCATCGGTAAACACTTCCGGGTCCAGTCACAGCTTACCTGAACTGGGAGCTGCTTCCGTCAGACCACTGGTAGAGATCTGGGCAGGCACCAGACGTTTGGCCATCCCCACTTCTCAAAAGTCCTATCCAGAAGTCACCATCTGAAATCCCTGTTCCAGGTTTGGTCAGATTCTGCAACATGCTCTCTATTAACTTCTGTTCAGCTTCATTCTCAAGACTGAGGAGGACACCTCCTTCGCTTTCACAAGCCAGGCGTGCTTCCTGGAAGCTCACTCGGCTAGACAGTTCATGGAAGTAGGCCATTTTGTAGCACGGATGTTTCACATCAGCAAAACACACCTTTTGACCTAAAAAAATATATATAGAGATAAACTGATTGTGAGGTCTCTATTCATAAGTTTGACATTAGTCATAATAAAAGAACAAATCAAAATAAGCAACACTATCAAGAACTCTTTTTTTCCAAGTACGTCCATGGGTGTAATAGTGGCATAACAGTTATGGGAGTAAAAAACTACCCTCTAATTAGACTTAAGTCCTGCCTCTCCAGGAGGAAACCCATGCCTGGTATTGCAAATCTGGTCAAGAACTAATGACTGGGGACCTCACAAGCCACAAGGGTGAATATATTACTGATATTTGGGTGAGTGGACATGTTACCAAAGTTTCCCTCTAAATTCTTATTTCTATAAGATAAGTCTATACCAATAGACTACTGCACCTCTCAAACCTCATCAGAAAAGTTTCTTTGTGCAGTGGATGGTGGTTAGCACAGAAACTCACAACTGATCAAAACATAAAGAAGGAGTGACTATAGAATGTTCAGCCAGAAACAGGACATCTATATCAGACCTCCTACCCAAGTACCATCATGGAAAGGGTGTAGAAAGAATGTAAAAGCCAAATGTTGGGAAGGACCAGAGCAAAAGAATGACTTATAGACAAGGCAGGAACATTGTACTCATTAATTCCCAACAGTTGCAGCTGCCTGCACAAGACCTACTCAGGATCAAGTCATTCAGCATTTTAGCATATCGCAGAGAGAGAGTCTCATGAGGCCACAGCTCTGAGAAACTATGGACAACTGATGGTTTCTTGGGAAGGGAGAATCAGTTTTCTTTAAGGGTGATGCTTCTACCAGATCAAATATGTTTGAGTGGATAGTCCCATTCAAGAAGTATATGGACAGTACATCTTAGAGTTGATGAATTATTAATTTTAAAAAGAGGAGGGCATGGGAAAGGATAGGATAGTGGTGGCAGATCTGTGAGGAGTCAAAGAGTTTGACTGACTGATAAAAATACATTGTATGATATTCTCAAAGAATTAATAAAAATATTTTGTAAGAGTACTCTCTCATCCAATAATATTGTAAAGTTTGCTTTTCTAGTCTATTAATTTCAATTTATAAAGATGATGGAACTTGGGATATGCTCAATGGGTAGATTGCTCACTGTGCAAGCATGAGAACGTGACTTTTTACTCCCAGTACACACATAAAATAAATGTTTGACATCCTGTTACAGTGTCTTTTTAACTTTTCAGTCTATATGGAAAGTTGTCATTTGTAGAAGGGGGATCATGCTTAAATACTGTGATAAGTAAAGCATCTATAGTTTATACTCTCAATTACAGTCCATCATGCTGAGCAATTATATTGCATCAACATTACAGCATTCTCCCAGGCCCTGAAACTCAACTTGTGATCTGGAATGACACTCAAGGCAAGAGCAAGCAGAAGGTGGTAGAAGGCCATTTACCTCACAACAGTATTTAAGTGATAAGCATTCAGGATCTTGGCAAAAGCTGAAAACATAAAATGGTTATTCCAGCAATGGAAACAAAGCCAGCTAACTAGAATCTGGACTTAGGAGCTGTACATTGAAAAGTACAAACAAATTCATGTACAGGTTAACTGAATTTAATAAAAAAAATTAACATATCAGTAGTAATGGTCATGGGAAATGAGCTAAAGAGGCTTTAGTAGGGCAAATAATCTGAAATAATCATTGACAGGAAGCAATGGAAATCCCAATGCTTAGTTCTAATATACAACATACATAAATTTGAAAATTTACCCTTGATTATTATTATATTTTGTGACTATTTCACTGTTTAAAATAGTTGTTCCTTGTAAGATTCCAATGATTCTTACAAGTCTATATTTTATTCTTGTATTCAAGAAGCAAACTCTCATCCTATTTTCATCTAGTACATCCTTTACATATTCTAAGTTTCCAAATATATCTTAGCTACATTCCCCTGAGTTTTCAAGTTCCTAATTTTCACCCTCGAAGACATTTAGCCTTTTAAAGCATTTTTACTAATACTGCTTTTATTTTTTTAGATTGCTTTGCAAGATCTCAATGGAAAGAGAGACAAAATAGCAGGATGTTTTTGGTGAGTAACATGTATTTATATGTAACAAAACCAGGGTACCTTAAGAGACTGCCTGTGTTAAAATTCACTGCTCATTATCTTAGATCTATTAAAAGATAAATTTATCTCTAGTTTATACATGGTGAAAGTATACAATTGATTGAAATTCACTCATTTATAAAACTATGATAGTGCTTATAATAAAATGCATAGAGAGTTCTCAGTACAATGTAGAGATTCCTAGTACTATTATGTTACATTGTAAAAAGTATAAGTAATGATGCCTAGGCAAAGAATTGCATTTTAAATAATTCACAACTGATGCTACATAGGTCCTGAAAAAAAATGCCAACCTTGGCACTCTGTATCAGGCAGTCTTTCCCTATAGATGGAGTAATCCATGATCCCAATAAATGTACAAAGATGATGATGGCTGCAAGAAAGAGGACTCTTGAGGAAATCAAGACAGAAGCCTTTTATCATCTGGAACAGATACGTTAACCCCAAAAGACATTCGGTGAGTATCAGCTGAGTCTTCATGTTTGAACTAAAAAGCTACTACCAGGTCAGGGAGAGCAAGACAGTTGCCAGGAAATTACAGACACACTGCGCAATTATTATGGCTCACATAGAATCAGTTAATGCTGACAGGGTGAATACCTTTACCTATAATTCTACTTTACTACTGATTTCTACCTTACTGTGCACATTTGGCCCAAGTTGTGGCAAAATGAGCAGAAGCTTGAGCTATGGGACTTGCTGCTGCACTTTCGCTGATCCCATTTGGCTGTGATCACAGTGGAACTTGAACAGCTGGGAAACAAATGTTGCCCTAATTCCCAGACAAGTTCTGCTAATGCATGTCTTCTGATGTGACTTTCTCCACTCCCAGAAAAGCCAGCCTTCCTAGAGAACAATTGTGATGACCTCCCTCCTTGCCCTGGTTGTTCACATGAAAACTTTCCCTGACTTTTGCTTTTAAACATCATATCCAAATAAAATCTTTCAGAAATATTTTTGGGAGGGTAATCTTTCTGAGAGTCATACAGTGGTTTACGCTACTCAAAGGTTACATACATACTGGCTAACCATAAAGAAGTCTCAATTCAGAATCTCTAGTCGAAAATTACATAGTTTTGGCTTATCTACAAAGACCTTCCACTCCAGATTCTAGAAACATTATTAAAAGGAGATGTTCAAGATGGCTTTGTGTAATTACTTTTATGAAAATATTCTGAATGTGCACCTGGAACTGAATAATCTCCAAATCAAAGAACTATTTACAAATTTAAATTTTCTCAAGTGAATTTGCATAGAATTATAGAAAGAACTATTCACCCCTATCAGATTTGTGAATACAGGGGCCCACACTGAGCCACAAACCTAGATATGTTCTTTTATATACAGAAAATTTTTATTAATAGCTGTTAAACAGTTCTATCATTGTCACAATTGATATTCTGTTGTTACTCCTATGAATAAGGATTTTGGTTTTTCATAGTTATGAAAAACAATAAATGTTGGCAAAGCTTGAAACTGGCTTCAAAGTAAACTCATGAAGTTATGACAATGTTTCTTCCTCTTGAATAGTTTCTTCTTCCGTTATGATCAACCCTTAATTGAAAAATAATGAAAATGTAAAAAAGGGACAATATGATAAATCTCACCTAAACCAGATTGGTTAAACTTAAGATTTACTAGAATAAAAAACAATATCTTTACCATAATTCTTTCCTATCCCCCTCAGAACACACTAAAACATGTGGTGGTATTGAAATATATAAATTGCATGATCTCTGAGAACAAAGACAATTATCCTGAACTAAGTGGAAGAGAGTGTCATTTACTGTAAGTGTTCTATTTGCAATTCTCAAGAGTGCACCAATTTCTTAAGAATTTTTATTTGAAGTTAAGACAGATTTATTAAAATTAAATTACTTATGCAAGATGGGTTTCAGGGTTCATTTAATTGCAGAGTGCACAATAGCTGGAATCTATTCTCTTATACTAGAAAAATCAAATTTGCCATCGTGGGTCACTTCAGGGATGGTGGTGGCCCCAGTCTTTCTTATTTATCCCCCCCAAAAAACACCACCAGCATTCTGAGAAGGGAGGGCCCTCATAGTCCACATCCTGATATTTGAAATTAATATAAATATTATGAATGGCAACCATCCATAATGAAGGTTCATAATTATATGACTTGAGAGTTTAAACAGCCAATCAAAAAGAAGTACCTTAAGTCCCGCAGAACTGCAGGTAATTGGAACGAACAAAACTTCCATGGTCGTTTCTGCTTCCTTAAAAACTGATATAAGCCATATGTTTCACAGAACTAATGCTAATAATTGTCTGATATTGAACAATAATTTGAAATATGAGACTTCACTTCCAGTACAATCCACACCTTCAGAGGAAGTGAGAAAACCGAGTCTTTAGCGGAAGTGGGAAATCAGAATCCGTTGACATATAACTAAGAGGTCCTTCTTGTAAGCTATTCAACTAGAAAAGTTACCTTCACCTCTGGAAAACTCAACTCTAGGCACAGGGCTTACCAAGCTAAGGCCCTCCTCCTACCCTCTCTACATGCACAAGGCACTAATTGTATCAAAACCTTTTGATCCTCCAAGCCACTGTATGATGCAGACTTTCTCATCCCATCTTTGAAGGGGGACACAGACAGAGTTTAAAAGTTTGTCCAGGTTCACACAGATCATAACTGCGCACTTGGGTTTGGAGCCAGTCTCAATGCTGATGCTGCCCATTTTTCCATGATGTCTATGCTTCCTCATGTGTGTCTCAAGCAACAGACTTTATGAATAAAGGGTTTGATAAATGTATGTGCCATGAATCTATTCTGTGTTAGAGACATTGATTTAATATAGCCATTGGTTGGTTCCTGAATGCTGGTAAAAGCACAGGATTGTGTATTGAGAAATTGTTTTTGAGTGTGCACTTTTCATGTTGAATAATAAGTAGATCAGAGTTAATTTGAGGACACTTCTATCTCTGAATATATGTATATAGATATATACATAGATATAGAAATGATGTGTCATCTCTACTTTTATTTTCTCAATAAAACAATTAAAGCCTAAATTGAATGTCATCTCCAATGCAAAAACTATCACTATAGTCAAAATATCATGGTGTGTTGTTGCTTCAACAGTACATTAAAACAGTTTTTTTTGAAAAGTTCACCTCACAGTTATCTATATGAATGCACCTGTATGTGAAAATCTAACACAGAAGGAAGATGTAAGTAGTAAAAATTACTGATGATGCATCAGCTGCATTTCCCCTTCAGAGCCCTTTTTAAATGACAGAGTCAGTTTTAGTGTTCATGTACAGAGAGTGCCACCATGTGATAATGATGAACAGCCACTAAGGAACAGTGCCTGTGATAAATGGGTAGTTTATTAAATGCTTAGTAATAAGATTAATTTGCCGCCTTCTTGCCCAAGAGATACTTAAAGTAATTGCATCTTTGCGATCTGCACTGTCATCATTTTCTGCTTTGATGATGTCATGGGATTTTTCTCTAAGATAGAATACGCTCTGCAGTTTCACTTGTATCTTCCTTACTATTAAATTACCTTTTAAAGCTACTTACTGCTCATCACTTATGTAATATTCTGTGTTCTCTACATGATAAAAAGAGAAATCTGCATATAACTGGTTCCACTAGCTACATCTCTCTATGGTGAGCCTTTTATTTTCTGCTAAATTATGGAGGAAAGGGACTTAGAGTCAGAGACTCCAAAATGTTCATGTGAAAGTGGAGAGTGATTGGTTAATTGTACATTTAAAAATTATATCTGACTCCGTGAAGCACAGGAATTGCTGTGGGGAAGTCAGTCACAGGCCTCGTAACCTTGTTTCTAAAGGTCTGTTTTCCCTTAGTCTCTCAGACAAAGTGTATCTCCGTTGTAGTAGAATTAAGACTGTACATGGAAGAGAGTTCTGGAGAAATTGAGGGATGCCTTGAATATGGTTAATGCCACATTGCAGCCTGAGGATGTTGGGAACTAGTGATCCAAACTCTAAGAAAAAAAAAGAAAGAAAGAAACAAAGATTTCATTAAAATATTTCAAATGTTTTAAAATAAAATGTCACTTGCTTTCGAGACATATTCTCCCACAGAGACTTTAGTTTTTATGCCCCATTTTCATATTTTACCATAAAGAAAAAACCTCAAACTTTGTCAGAAGAAAAATGTGATTACCAGCTAGTGACTTTCTGAAATGAATGATTAAAGAGATGCAACAGATGTTCTCCACCCATGTGTGTGAAGTTAGAAATCACCATACAATTCAGATCCTCAAATTAGTTTCCCAGCAGGAATCACAAATTCAGTAAATACACTGATTATTATCATCAGAGTTCTCTCTGTGTGTGTCTCTGTGCACTGCCCTATTACATCAGATACTATTAAATCTTATGCAGGAAATGTATTTAATAATTAAACCATTTTCACCTTAAAATAATGTGTTTAAAAGTATTAGAATGCATCTTGTTGAACGTTTTGAAATATGAAAAACATGTCTGGATATTAACTTTGCCAGGGTCTGTCTTTTGAGGATATACAGGGTAAGTGATTATTTGATATTACAAAGGAATTATAAATTGTCCTGAAATGTAATAAGTGGAAATTATTTTCCATGTGTTCTAAGTATGTTCCAAACAGTGGAAAGCAAAGAAGCTGTCTCACTTCTCTTCAGACACTTGAGAAGAGACTGGGTAACTGGTCCCTAGTGGCATAAAACGGTTGCTACACTATTCAGAATAAATATCAACAGGCTGACAGTGGACATGTTAGGAAATATTTCTTCAAAAATAACAGATTTTAGGCTGCTCTCTGCTCAGCCCCTCACAGCTAGAATTATTCAAGGTCTATGATTCATAAATCAGTGTATAAATAGATAAATTTCAATGCAAAGACAATCAAGTTATTCATAAAAAACATAACTAAGTAATTGTTCTAATCTCAAGTCAACATCATCATTTACACTAAATCAAATAAATCATGCTCAGTTACTCAGAAATGTTCCAGATGTCACCTTCCAGATGACCATGAATTGCTAAAGAAAAGCATAACCAAAGTTTTGGGATAATTTGTGCAGAAGTACAATGAAAAATTATACTTTCCATCAACAAAGTGTTTGAGTTCTATTTTCTACCTTGGATCTTCCCCTCCCCCCTTGGAACTTTAAGGCATATAAATAAGAATACAACAAAGAAACATTATTTAAGTTAGTGGAATGTGCTTGCTTTTTTAAATGCTTGTTTAAAAATGCCATATGTTCAAAGCATAGTCTCTTGCTGTTCATTTATTTATGTGAAAAATTCCTGAAAACAAAGCTAGTGAAATGTATAGTTAGTTGGTTCCACCAGATAGATCTCCACGCTAAAGTTCTTTATTCTCTTCTAAATTAGGAAGGAAAAGGATTTGAACTAATAGTCTCTGAACATCCTGTGGAGACTAATTGCTCACCTGCACATTTAAGAACTGTATCTGACTGAGTGAAATACATAAATTGCTGAGAAGATCAGAGGCAGGCTTAATATACTAGATCCTAAAGACCTGTTTCTAAACTCTAAGTTACTGGCGTCTCGCATCCATGTGACACCTATTAGGCAGATGGACAAGTTTTCACTGGGCCACGTTTGCCTTGTATGTTAGATGGAAATACTTTATCCTTAAAACAATTCGCTTATGTTAGACGCAAATACTTTATTCTTAAAACTACATTCACCAAACCCGTTGTCATTATTTGATGAGCCTAGCAAGAGCTTTCTCTATGGGTAACTGTACAGCTGCCATGCGCAGTGCTGTTCACGTTCATCTCAGTCGCTGAAGAGTCAGTCTATAGCCTTAGGAGACTTCCCCAAACTAAGAGGAGGTGGGTATGATGTGAATTGCTTAAAGATTAGGCAACAGATGCTGGGAGACTGGGGGGCGAGGGGCAGACGAAACTAGGAAACTTGGTCATTTTAACCTATTTCCCTTTTACTGATTTAAGAGACTTAACTGGGCACCTGAGGAATATACAGACCCAGTTCGTTACCAAGTACACACCAAACCAAACCTCGACCCACCTGCCGTTGACTCAGTTTTCTGAGTTGTCTAACTAGGGAAGGAAGTGTGTAAAAAAGAAGGCGACAGTGCAGTCCTCCTGAGAACAAAGGCTGCAAACTCAGACATCTGAACGGGGCTGGTCTCAGAAGCCTTGTGAGCACCCAGGCGGGACTGGAACCAGACCAGCAGGAGGTGGCAATTCATGCTGCAGCTTTTTAGCCTCCAGGCTCTGTCTGCCTAGCTCGACCACACCCCTTCCGCAGGTGCCCAGCGCTGCCTGCCTGTGATCCACTCAAAATCTTCCAAAGAAAGTGGAAACCCGTGCTGAAGAGACCATGCTGCTCCGGATTTAGCTAGCGTTTGCTCCGCAGCTAGAGAGGACGCTCCCCTCCCCGCCCCCGCCCCACCAAAAAAAAAAACCTAAAACTTTCTGCTTTGCAGAGAGAAAGGGGAAAGAAAAGAATAACACGTTTTTCACCATCTCTCTGGAAGCTCTACTCAGTCCAGTTTTCCAACTCTCCGGGGAGTCCCCACCCTAATGCAAACTGCCTGTTACTGCCCCAGAGTCCCAAGTCCCTTGTCTTCCCTCTGGACAGACAATACCCTTGCCCTGACTCACCACTGACCACCCGTCGGGCAAAGGCTCCGTGGCCACAGAGCAGCGTGGCTCCCAGCAGCAGCGAGACCATGCGGATCATGGTGGCGAGACTTCTGCAGCAGGTGTCCGGCGGAGCAAAGGCGGTGTCCTCCCGCAGCACAGTCACCCACGGCTCTAGCCAACAACCTTCTTGCTTTTCTGCTGGGTACTACTCTCTCCTTCCCAGAACAGGAGCTAGGATCCCTGTAAGCATCGCCTTCAGCGGGGGACCTGCTGCCAGGCTGCCCCGTGCGGCACTGGGCTGGAGCGCAGGAGACCGTCCGTGGGCGTGTGTCTGGGGGCAGGGGACAGAGTTAGGGGTTCCCGTGTCTATATCTATTGCAAAAGGTGAACCAGGATTCCCTAGCGCAGATCTAAGCAGCCTTCTTCGCTTCCCTCTCTGGTCTCTGTGTCCCAAGGGGCTGAGCCCGTGTACCCTGGTCCTGGCTCCAACAGCAACAGCCGCAGCAAGAGCAGCTCTGCGCTGGCTGCACCGTCTTATATACACCCAGAGCCTGGGGTTCCAACCCCTAGCTAGCAATCATTTTTAACTACTTCATCTCCCCTGCCAAGCGAAGCAGCTGGCCCCTCCCCTAAAAACTGGAGCCACTTTGAAAAGAGTGCAGTCAGCAATCCCTCCTCCTCCACTCCCCTGATCCCCACCCCCTTCCCATTTGCCAACAGACTTCAATACTCATTTGTGTAAAATGTGACAGCTTTGCTATTAAACTCTGGCAAAAGTTGGCTCCATTTGGTTTTCTCAAAGATAAATGTCCACGGGGATGCCAAGTCGCAGGGCCTTTCTCTTTTTCTGCTAAATTGCTTGATCATATGTATGGCGAGATGCAGGGCACTAGCCACTATTTAAGATGGATTGGCAGAGTGGGAGCCAAAACTCGCTCAGTGAATTATATAATGTGGCAGCTTTTTCCCCACCTAGCTTCTGCAAATAGATGATTTCCAAACAGGTTGCTTGACTAAACTGCCACAGAAGCAAATTGAAAAGAATCTTGGAAACAAGTTTTCCCTCAACTGATTTCAATCTCAGTGTTCAAAAAAAAAAAAAAAATCAAGACAAAATAAAATAAATATTCTGAATTGTTGGGAAATAAGAGTGTATTTCTTTGAACTCACTCATCAGTGCTATATGGTATACATTAGATGTAAATCTCACTTTAAGGAACATACACCTTTCCAAATCTGACCGACTCTACTCAACAGGCCAATGTCTGGTTTACCTCTTTTGTGTGTCCAGGGAAGTTCAGCGTGTGTGTGTGTGTGTGTGTGTGTGTGTGTGTGTGTGTGTGTGTGTGTGTGTGTGTGTGTGTTCTATGAAAGGAACACTGAAAATGTTCTCTTATCAGGTTCAGTAGAACTGGCATTTTTTCATTATGTTGCTTTTTATCATAATTTATTATTTATTTTTATAGTTTTGATTTTTTCATGTATACACATTTTGTGTGACTGTGTGTCTGTGCGTGTGCGTGCCCGCACATACATGTGTGTGTATGAATGGATATACATGTGAAGGCTCAAAGTTGCTATCAGGAATCTCCCTTAACTTTCTTCCATCTTATCCATTAATGCAGGGTCTCACACTGAAACCCAGGTCTTGTCCATATGAGTTGTCTTCTTAGCCTGCATGCTTAGGGATCCCCTACTCCACCTTCAAAGGCTGGGTTACAGGAGAGACATAACACCCACCTGGCACTTATGTGGGTTTGGGGATCTTAACTCTTGTCCTTTTGGGCTTTAACTGTCAAGCCATTTCCTCATTATGTTGCTTAAATGCACCAAGATCTGTTAAATAGAATAATTTTCTGCTTTAATGAGCAGCACACTTTCCTCCCATGTCTTACTGTCTTTTGGTTTTCATATGAAGTAAGGACACACTATCTGTTGGATCATTTTCTTGGGAAAGGGCAGTATGTACTGCTACAATAAGGACCAGTCTCACAGAAACAGGCGCATTTTAGCAATTGAAAGATCCTTAACTATAGATCTGCTTTACTATATGTAATATATATCATACAGATACATCATAATTATCTTAGAATTCTACTTTCATCATATATTACATATATTGTAATATATATCACTTTGTTGTTCTGTTATTGACTGTGAATACACTATCTTATTGTAGAGCAATGGGCAGTTGATAAATGTTGATTTGGCACAGGGTCTATTATTTGTATCACTAGTTCATATCCTCAAAGAAGAGATGCTATTGGGATTTTGAATGGAAGATGGGAAATGCAGAAATACCTCAAGGTTATAGAATTGTAGTGTGGCCCTGGAAATCATGTCAGTGGGAATCACTGGCTGTAGCTTTGGTCGAAGAGATGCCTGACATAGTCACACAATTCATTATGGAGAGAGGACCAGACTCTTAGTCACTAGCTACCCTTATGGTTCTATGGACTGTAGCTTGGTTATCATCATCAACTGCACAGCTAATATCCACATATAACTGAACACATACTATAATCATCTTTGATGAATGAATAAAAGCCTAACCACTAAAGCTAACAACTGCACTGCCACTTATAACTGCTGAGAGATCAGTTTCTCTAATAGAATGACATTAGGTATATCAACCACTCCAGGACAGGCCTCGTGTTCAGTAGTAGTTGACCAACATATAATGGAATTCACAGTTTTTATTGTGTGTTTTTATTTGATTACAGTTTGGTGTTTACTTTTATCATTGTGGGTATGTTTTATTTCATTTTCTTAGTTTAGGGGAGCTTTGCTGTGGTATTGGGTTTTTGTGTTTTTGAGAAACAACTTAAAATTGAGTGGGTAGGAGGATCTTGAAGGACTTGGGGGAGGAGAAGAATGTGACTAAAATATATTTAAATTTAAACATTGTTTTAAATAATAAAAATAAAATAACAACAAAAAATATGCCATAGACAAGTGTAGTAGCCAATAATTCCAAAACCCTGAGAGGCTAAGGTAGGAAGAAGTGTAAAGCCAGCCTGGGCAAAATAGTGAGAACCTGTTTTAGGAAAAAAAATAAAAACTTGCAACAGAAATGTTGCAAAGCTATTGGAGTTAGTAGAAAGCAAAAATAATTTTTAAACAATTTTGTTAATAAATGATCACTTACTTCCTCTATAGATATACATAAGGGACAGTAAAAGATGAATGGAATTTTTATGGCAAACATAGTTTAGTTCCTTTACCCAAACAAAATTAGATATCTAAGTACTAGGTGTGTATCAATAATCAGATTAAGGGCTTCTTTGACAGCAGGCAAGAGGAAGAGTATATGAGGAACTGTTTGTATACATGAAGAGTTGGGTTCCAGTGAGCTAAAAGCAAGGTGTGAATAACAGTCAAGAGAGATAAGATGATAAGACCTAGAAAAATAAATCAATGGTGTGAAAGTAGGAGGGGGACTACAGGGAAGAGAGATCATCTGGAAATGGTAGGAGACAAGAGAAAAGAAGAGAATATGATCAGACCTTACACATGAGTGAAAAATCTCATAGTGAAATCAGTTATTTTGTGTGCAATTGATATGTGGTAAGACTGTTCCTAAATCTCTTTCCAAACAATATAGTTTCAAATGAGAACTGAAAAATGAGTAGAGTGAAACCTGTAACACTGACCCAACAGCTAAAATGTATCTTTCTCTTGAAACTCTAAAATAAAAAATGGTAATCTCAAAAAGGGTAGCCCCAAAGTTATCTCACACTGTTTCAATGGCTTAGGAGATTCATATACTATTTTAAGTAAAATGTAATAAAATGAATGACTTAGATAATATTGGGTTTGATGACATCATGATTATATCAATAGAAAGTTATAGTCACTCTCTTTTGGAGATGACCATTCATATTTCTTATCTGGGGCATATATGAAGGAACCCTGCTGCTGTGACTGAGGCTGAAGTGACTGTGTACACTTGTCCTACACAAAGCCACTGACTCTGAGCAAATGTCCAGATGTCAGGCTATCTGCAGATGAGGTAATGGGCACCTCAATCAGATGCTCATGGTGAATGCACAACCGGAAGTGAATGGGGAGAGAAGTAATTCATGCTTTTGGAATACAGATGGCTAGTAAGTAACTCACTCAAACACAGGATGAACGAACGGGTGACCAAATTCCCCCAAGATACACTTGCTCATCTCAAAGGGTCTCTGAGCTGTTGAGTGCATGAATTGCCTCATTCAGGAGCCAGTGACACTCTTGAAATTCCAGAAGTGTTTGTTTTTAGAGGGCAGAGCTCCAGTGTTCATAGTGATGCTGGAAATGTAATGAAGAATTAAACAAGCAGGAAGATGCTTTTCTATCACTTCAAGTTTAGTAATCATTAAATATCTTCTAAACTATGACCATTCAGGTAACAAGTTATTTTTTGAAGTATGGATCTCTACTAATGGAACATTTTGCACTAGAGCTGAAGAATCGGTCAATTTTAATTAAAGTCAACTTTAATTAAGTATTCTTGAGTAGCTCCTGGTAGGTCAAGCCCACTCCAATGGCTAACCCCACACTTAGGCATGTATAGAGACAAATAGAAACAACGGTTTATTAAAATAAAAGGAGGATACAAAGTTGAGTGTGGTAGGAAGGTGGGAACGGATCTGGAAGGAATTAGCAGGAGGGATGGGGTGAATATGATCAAAATACATCCACGAAGTTCTCAAGATTTAATATAGCTACAAAAATAAAATAAATAAAGATAATTCAACAATGGTATTGTTATGAATGCAGAATGAGTCAATGTTTTTGCTTTAAATCTCTTATTACCAAATCTAATTTTAATATACTGATTTTGTATACTAATACAATCAAAATGAAAAATCAAAACAAGAAGGTAAAAGTTACCTCTACCGTAGTTGTCTAGTTTTATTAGGTATATAATTGACAAATTACTTCATTATGAACATATCCATTACACTACTGCTTCTCCCCAACTCCCTACGATGTCCTTTACCCCTTCAAACTCCCAGCTTTATTTCCTCTTTTTAATGTATTGCTTTGTTATTAGCAATGTTCTGAATCCAGCCAGTTCTTCCCATATATGGGTATGAAGCTATCCACCAGGCCATGAGCAACCTACCAATTGCCACATTCCCAAAGTCCAAAGGAAAGAGACTTCCTTTGTTCAGTAACTATCAACTATCAATAGCTTCTTCCATGGGAGTGGGACATTTGTGTCTCTCCTTATCCACGCTGGAATTTTGATTGGCTTCATGTTGTATAAGTAACCAAACACATCTGCTGTGAGTTTATGCATGTACAGAGCTTTCAGAAACAGAAAGCATATAGTTGTTGTATATAAAGTATACAACAATCTAGTGCAAAGATACAAGTGAGTGAAAAACTTGTATGTTATCGTTTAAATGCTGTAAGTAAACAGGAGCCACATAGAAACAGTTGAATTTGAATTATTCTGAGAGTGAACTGTATAGTGTTTGAAAGATTTTATAAAAATGTAGCAACACATTACCTACAGAATAAGAAAGGAGAGAGAGAGAGAAAGAGAGAGAGAGAGAGAAA